CCCCCCTCCTGTGTTTCTCCCTTCATCGGTTAGCCGTACGACTTCGCGAAAGAACGGTGACGCCTTCACACCGTCGATGATTTCGTCTTTATGATAAAACAGTTTTCATAGAAACAATTTTCCTGAATGACGCGAGTGATTGGACATCACTTAGGTGAGAAGCAATGGTTGAGACTACGGTGCCAACACTTAATCAGCCAATTTTGGAATATCGCGCGCGACCTTAGAAAAACTTTAAAATATTAAATATATATAGTAAACGAATCTCGCAGTAGTATATACTACGCATCAATAAAATCCTAACATTTATTAGACCAAACCTTACTGATCTTTATAATCATCCCTACTATGTCCAGGTATAACATGATACTATATAATGTAACATTTGATATAATATATAATATATGCATCTATCAAAATGACAGATTAGCCAAACAATCAACAGTTATAATAAAAAGACTAGTCAGTTTTTTGGCCTAGTAAATGTTAAGACTTTATGAAGAGAGTCCAAGTGTACGCATCTTGACACTCCGTTTTATTCGCGGGTCGAATTATTGAAAATCTCAACGAGGGGGAGAGCAGCGATCCACAAATAGCGGCGAGAATTAACTACCCGCGAGCAGCACACCGTATGTACTAGCTAAATATACAAAAATGGAGAGTCAAGCGAGATCTTAATGAAGTTCACCGTTGATACAAAGTAATCTAAATATTTAATCTAGATTAAACCGAGAAGACAAGATGAAGAGAGGAACAGACAGACAGACAGACGGACAGACGGACGGACAGGCGGATGGATGAGATACGGTCGGCACGGGCAGCCGCGGGTTTAACATTGTACGCTTTTTTACACGGTAACCGAACAGTTCGCGGGCTCGTGTACGGCGAGAGAGCGAGAGAGGCTCATCAGAGGCCCCGAAGCCCGTTGGGGCCCAAGGTGGGCCAGTGGCTGGTAGCACGTTGGCGGAGGCCGCAGACGTAGGCGGCCGGGCATGTGAAGAAAGGAGAGAGGGAGAGAGAACAAGAGAGAGAAAGAGAGAAAGAGTAATAAGAAAGAACCGAGGGACGAGGTGGGGGCAGAGTGGAAAACAAGGTGGAAGGGTGCCTCGAGCCAGCCGTACCATTAATCATCGGGGTAATTCCATAGATGGCTCTTTGCTGCTCGGAGGAGCGAGCGATGCATGCCAAACTTTTACCTCGCCCGTCGTCAAGCGACCTGCGAAAAGACGTTTCTACCGCGTTCGTGACACCGCCGAGGTAGCGAGTGCGTGTGTTTTTCGTATTTCCGCCAGACCCTCGGGGTAATAGAAAAGAGCGATAGTTCGTTGGAAGTGGTTCCAAGAGAAAGACAGAGAAGTTTCGTAATCGTGCAATTTTCACGAGTTTGCCTATCTGTTTCGGATAAACGCACAGACAAAGTTGTGCATAACATACTCTAATCTCAGAATTAATTTCTACTTAATTTCTCTAATTTCTAGTTTCTTTAAAGTTCTACATTAGTTGCAAGTCGGTTGCAACTCTTGTTGCTAATCAGAAGCGTTAATAGCATCATGGATGCTTCTGATCGACCGTCGCAATAAGAATTGCGTCTGTTTGCGATCGGCTTGCAACTAATGTAGAACGACCTTTACAGATCCAAAAAAGGGAGTTCGGTTTATCTTGTGCTTATTCTGTGATAATCAATTTCTGTGATAATCAGATTTTCGCGTTGACTTCTAACATCGTTGGAATATCAAGATAGGATGGTAGATACATAGGAATACTGAGTCAAAATTACTTCATACTTCTTACGGCTTCTAAGGCTTTTTAAGGCGGCTTATTTTTGCTATCACATATACGTTACTCCTTTACTTGTGTAGAACATGCGTCTTATGGCTCCCACCTTGCTGTGCAAGATACACGCGACAGAGCTCGCCTGTCAATTTAATCTCGGTCGTATATTATGCCCGCATCTTTCCTACATTTTTCCGGACTGTATATTTACGCCGTATTCGCGGGAATTAATGACACGCTAAGTATCGCGCTTACCGCGAATATTAAGATGGAATCGATAGGGCGTACCACACAAGCGTGAATCGAACGACCGGAGAGACGTTAAGCGTTCTCTTTTTCTCATTCCTTTACATAGATATCATCTACCCTCGCGAGCCGCAATTTAACCGCTTAACAGATTGTTTATACATAGACCACGCCACTCTACACTTCTATCTCTCCTCCAATCTCTCATCTTCGTCTCCCGCGTAAAGCGCGAGTCTACCCTCAATTCAAGTCGACAGCGATGGCTGTTGCGACTGTCCCGATGCAATGTGAGCGCAAAGTAATTTCTTGACGATTGAATTCGCGCGATGGTATTTGTAAACAACGTTCGCGTTGCTAAGTCCTCCGCCGACATGCCGAACCCGTGGTCGCACGAACACGTCGTCGAACGCGAAGTTCCTCCAGTGAACGATTCGCGGGACCCAAAGTGGCGGGACAAAAATGAAAGACAGAACGAAAAGAACGAATGGACAGACGGACAGACGGACAAACGCGGCAAAAAAAGGTCCGTCCCGTGGAAACACGGCGGCCACCGGGCCGTCCGAACGACGTCAGGAGTTTAATCAATGCATTTAGACGAATTCCCGTCTGGCCCAAATAAAAGGCGAGACAGGAGGAGGTTAAGCGCAAAAAACGCCGTACGCGCCACGGGCCCTTCCTCCGGCCCTTCTCCTCTGTCCCCCTTTCTTTCACTCTCCCCCTCTACCCCTTTCTCTCTCTCTCTCTTACTTTCACAGTCATCCCTTTCTACGTCCGTCGCTGGTCGCCGTGACTTTTGGGACCTCTCGGGGCCCCCGGACGAGGCCCATCCCAAAACTCCCGAAGTCGTTAGGTATTCCGCGAGTGTACTCTTCAGTCCTCTCCCTTCACCCTCTCCCGCACCTTTGTCGTCCTCCCTTTGCCCTATGTCGTATCCTCGCGGGAGAAAGACTCTCTTCTTCGAATAACGTACGTCAGTCACGGGACGAAAACCAGTGGCTGCCACAAATCTCCGAGTTGGCCTTTTCATTCACTGTTTTACCGCGTCCTCCGAAACTCCGTACCGCCGCAAAACGCTGTTGTCTTCGTCTGCCTGAGCGACGAGATTCGTATTTTACGTCGATTAACTTTTAGACGTTTTCAGTGTCGACAGCGAGCGAAGTCTACCCGCATAGATTTTCATAATTAACACATGAAACAATTGATGGTGAAAACTCTAAACTCTATTTTTTCAATTATATTTATGCTGTATATACTGTATACCGTATTGTATATATACTGTATTGAGTTAGTCATTCAATTTTTTATTATACAATAATAAAAATTCTTTGTTACATGGATGCAGTAATAAATTTACTAAAAGTTACACTCTGATTTTCATATTACATTTTTTATAAAGTTTCATTTGGAGTAAATTTTGTTCATTTTTTTCGTTCATTTCTTTCATTATCCTATGTACCATATGAATAATTCATACATTACAAATTCAAATGCGTTATTTTGATTGAATCTATTTTTCAACCTACATGTTTCTTACTCATATTTGTTTCGCGCCAATTAAAGGATTCGCATCGTTCGTTTAAGCGTGAGAACGTTCAGCCTAATTGGAAGTTTATTTGACGAAAATGTGTAATATTTAGCGCTCAGGATGTGTACTCGATGTGAAATGTTTCGCGCGATAGTTATTATTCTTTATGCGGCCGCGTAACTAAGTCATTGATAGTCAACGAGTCGAGCATCCTGTCCTAATCCACTATCTCGTTAAGCATCTTCTAACGGTGGACCTAAAGTTACCTGGTGAAACGTGACGCAGAAACCGACGGAGATAAAAGAGATGTCACGAGGCAACCTTTTTCCTCTTTCTCCATCTGCGTATACCATATTTTTACATCAAAAACACACCAACTCATAAATACAGACCCGACAAAATCAGCACGTCAAAGTGAAAACGCGTATTGCTTTTTGGATCCTCTGTGTTGAATGACAGTATTTATTTGAAATTGAAGACACGATATATAAGAGAATTGCAAGCGTTTAAAGAGTCATTCAACAATCACGTGAAATTTGGATATTTCTTATCCTTCTCCTCCCCTTTTCATCACACAAAGTTTGAGCTCCCTTCAAATATTAAGTGACGTATGAAATTATCTCCTCTCCCCATAGAATAAGAAAAAATAGCTTATAATCACGTTGTAAACAATGATTATTATTCTTCTAAAATACAAAAATATTTTCTGTATTTTAGAATAATATCAAATTAAATACTTGATTTTATCATTTTAATTAGTTGCGTTTAAAAGAAATAAATATTTTAAAGTGAAAATGTTGATTATTAACACAAAATTGTATTATTTTTATGGAATATAATATTTTCAGATATAAAAATTTAGATGCAAAATGTACGATAGCCTTTATTTCTCTCTCTCTTTCTCTCATCACACCGTCACGCAAGCTAATAAATTCCCTTCGTGGTATAACGTAATTGTTGAATGGCCTCTTAAACAAAAAATCTCAAGATAAATTGTTTTTCCAAACGACACCAATTTATTTATTTCACAAACTATTGCCTCACGCTCACGTTTTTACCACTTTAGAAAGTTGCGAATCAAAACGATGATTGCCAGATAATCTCGTAAGTGATATGTCATAGCGATATTCGAGCGTAAATGTGGATGTGAAGGGATGTAAAGGGAAGCCCTTCAATTGCAACGATAATTCCACGAGCATCGCCCTTATTTACGTCACGTCTTCGATTTAAGGGCGTTGACGGAAATCGAAGCCGGGATACTCTCCGTTTGCTCGCGCATTGAAGAAGGACCGCGCGATATCTTATTGATTTCTCTCTTTTTCTGTGCAGACGATGGACGCGTAACGCCGCGGTCTGGGCCCGTAAGCTCGTTACGCCTGTCGGAAGTATAAATCAACCGCAAAGTTATTCCGCCGTGTTGTCGGGAACTCCCCGTAGGGCGCCTCGCTGGAAACTGCTACCACCTTCTTGCCCGGGATAACGTTCGCCCAAGTACGTAAGTCTGTCTTGCATGATTGCGTCATAAGCGATTTATAAAAGTCACGGCAACGGCGACACGGAGATTTCAAATGGCGACTCTTCATAAAACTTATCAAGCTAATTTCGCGACGCGGATAAAACTGTATCGTCCGTTTCCTTTTCGCACGTGAGTTTCTAAATTTTTTAAAGTAAAATTTTTTTACTCGAAACGAATGAAAATTCACTCGAAATTCGTTAGTAAAAAATACTATCACTAAGAATAATATGAGAGATCATTTAACTGGAAGTTAGAGTAGGTTTAATGCATATGAGCAAACATTTCAGTCGATTGAAATAAATTTTTGTTGTAAATTTTACTTTTCTGTGGAGATTAAAGCGAATGTGTTTCCGCACAATAAAGTACATAAATTTCTATCAAATATCTTTTTAATTAATGTTGAATTCACTTCTCAATGTCGAATTAAAATATTCACTTACTTACTATTCACTATTTAGAGCGAAACTCAAACTGTCATACCGATAGCCCGATTTATTACTTATTCTCTGAGCTTTTTAGAGTCAATTGTCAACGAAACCGAGTGGAAATTTATTCCAAACAACAGTGAAAATACCATCAATGGAGATTACAAAAGTAAACACTTAACTCAAACTTGAAGTGAATTCTTGATTCATATGAGTGAACATTTAAATTGATTAGAATAAATTTGTTCCTATGACAGCGAAGTGCATTAGATTCACTCTTCAATTTCGAATGAAAATATTCATTCGACGATTCTGAGCGAAATAAATTCGCTCTGTATGGAAAAGTCACTTCGAATTCGAGTGGCTTGGCTGTCAGTCTACTCTTCCAGTGGAATTTTATTCGGAGAAGTGTAAAGAGGTAGCTTATTTCATGGCGAAGGGTGACCGAGGTCGAAAAACGAACGGAGTCATGCAACGCTATTCTGTCTAATGGCAATTAGTATGACTTATCGCCGCCGTCGCCGTCGCCGCTGCGGCATGGGATTTCGCGGTAATTATAATTTACGGCCACTTAGGGCGTACATTGATAGTTTTAACTGTATTTTCCTTTGATTATCTCTCAACCAGGCCGTCATGTGCACGCACGCACGCACGCACGCACATGGGACTTTAGCGGGCGAAACACACGAGCGGCAATAGCGGTGCCCTCATAACACCCTGAGAATCTAATTGTAAGGTTGCCGCGCGAGTCGCGCGCAGGTCGCATTTTCTCGATAACAAAGACGTAAGTAATGATAATGTGGTAACGACCCCGCTGCCGGTACAGTTATAGCGCTCGGCAGCGCGCAATCCTGGGGGAAAATGATTTTCTAATAAAATCGCGAGATAAGGAGACCGCGATGGTCGGTAATAAGCCAACATTGTGCCGACGTAATACGTAATTACCGATCCGGCGAGATCTGATAATCGTTACGCCGGTAATTGGCACCGGCAAGAATAACACCTCCCCGATGACTGCGCGTCGTTTCTCACGGACGAGTGTCCCGGGAAGAGTATCTCGGGCTTTTTCCGTTCCGTCCGTTTGACACACACGATTAGTTTGCTCTCTTTGTTTTCTCCGTCTCTCCATCAAAGCCACGATAAATATCCAGCGGGTGAATCCAGTGGCTCATTGAGGGAAGCGAGTTGACTGGCGTAAAAGCGAAGAAAGGACATGCTGCAAGTCACGCGGAAGGGTGAAAACTTAGAAAAGTCGAGTTCCGAGTAAACCCGGAATCGTAGGATTATCCGAGATGATCGCCTAATAGCTTTAGGAAAGAATCGACTGGGGACGACTACTTTAAATTACCATAAGCTCCGACTCGCCCCGGCTAACGAGCGGAAGAGACCCCAAAAGTGTTGCGACTAGCCGTCGAAATAAAAGTAGGGAGCCCCGAAAATCAAGCAAGGATGCCGTGCATGCACTGTGTCGCAAAGAACCTTATTAATAATAGCAATACGGGACAAATGATAAAATCGAAATCACGAATTTCGCTCGATTCGCAGAAATATAACTGAATGCATCGATTTCCGTTGATTATACGAAAACGTAACTGATAATTGAATTAAATATCAATGATACGGTAAAGAAATGTATTTCGACGAAATATATGACGAAAATATAAAAAGAATTCAAAATTGACATCTCGAATTGTTAGTTAGCGTAAATATTTGCCTGATAAGAAAATTCTGCAGCGTATACATATCGAATGTGTGTTTACTTCGTTCAAGAAAATTTCAACAATATCCCAAATAAAAGAAATTTATTCTATAATTCTGATTAGATTGATCCCAATCGACTATCCGTTTTGTATATAAAATATATTACATATATTTATATATTAAATAATTTATAAAATATATTGTATATATTTATATATTAAATATAATTATATATTTATATATTATAAAATATATTGTATACAATATATTTCACACAAGCAGAATTATTTATATGATATATATGACACATTTTTTATGTAATATTATTTATATACATTATATACATATACATTACGTACATATTACGTACGATATTATTAGGTTCTAATAAGTCATATAACGCAGCATGACAATTATAACTTTATTAAAAGATTATTAATAATTGAAATCTTATTAATAATTAAAGCCCGATATCATCTTATATAAACTAAATAACTGATTAAGATTAATCTGATTAGGAGCATGGGATAAATTTCTAGTCAGTTGCTGTATCTTTACAAATGCCTTCCTCTCTTCCGCATTTAGAAGCGTAAAAATATACAAAAAGTTTATAAAAAGATTTTTACATATGCGTAATTAAGGTTTATGCTAAATATATGATAAAACAAGCAACATACATTCATACAAGATCTATATGTACGAGAAATACAAACAGGGGGTATCGTAATCGTGTCAGTGCTTATTTGACATGACGTTTTGACGATCGCTCCTACGTTATCGACACTTTTGAAGCTCGTCATCCACTTTGGCATCCCCTTATAAGAAATTATACGACAACGTGAATTTGCATATGATAATCAATGTGGTTTGATTGGTCACACGCAGAGTGTTCCGAAAAAAAAGAGCTGGTTTTCTCGCTTAACTGCAGATCTCTCGTTTTGCATTCGAGAGAAAGCGAACGACATATCTGATACGTAGCTGCCCCTCCGTGCGCGCGTTTTAATTAGTTAATAAATAAGTGCGCGTTGACAACGATCGTGAGATTGGCGGTCTTGTTAATCAGACGTATTAATTAAACATAATGGATAAGGGTTGGGGATCCCGAAGCGATCTCTCGCGTTGCGTTCTCCGTCGCGGTGCTCGCGGTTAGAAACGTAACGCGGATCGATACGCATCGCGGAATTCGCATGATTGACGCGCACTGACACGACAAAACACAACAAAAAAGCAACATTTCTCAGTCGGCAATAATCCCGGCTCTCTTGCCGCGATTGTATCAGCTATCCTTCCGCGTGCTAATAATTATCTCTCGATTTCTTCTAATTTAACGGCGCGCGTACGTACGTCACGCGCTCGCACGTTCCGGCTACGCACCGGTAAAATCCGAGAACCGCGCCTCCTTTAATTGGCCCGTACAAGAGTGATTTACGAGCGCAGGGGAGTAAGAAGGTGAGGAAAAAAAGAAAGTACCTCGTTTCTTCCACGCTTTTCCCATTGAGATAACAAATAACATGTGTTTAATAATAATAATAATAATAATAATAATATCAACGTAAACAATTAATTACGCGTTCCGCCGGGTCTCGCGTCTTGGCCGATTTTCCCAAGGGACCGTAACCGCCGCCGCTATCGCGGAAACGCGCCAGACGCGCAGAAGTTTCACGACGCGACCGAGACGAAAGATCCCTATCGCAAAATCAAACGGCTGGAGGCGAGAGGAGAAGGAGGCCCCACGGCGAGTCCTGCGAAGAAGGAGACATCGCGAACTCCTCGCGCTCCTCCCGAGGCCGCCGAAAGTCGTAAAACGTCCAGCACCCACGTAGAAACTGGTATCACGTACCGCCGCTACAGACCTGAACCCTTTGTGCTCGCGTGTGTATTATCACGTGTGCATACAGTCGCTCTCACAAATAGTACCGGCACGGTCTCGCGTGGAGGCCGTCCGAGGGGGCCCAATCTAATCTTCCCTTGAATCGCGAAAATATTAGATAATTACTTGCTCGAGAGAAACACAGGCTGTCGCGAATAACGTTCCTCGCGACCTCCGCGGCCTCCAATTTTCGCCAAATTGGAGCGAGGACATTCCGGTGCCGCTGTATGTAACAATTTGTCTTCTTCCCGATGTCAGGAGGACGTAATAATACTTGTTAACTACCATTTTTGTTTTCCTTCTAACTAATCCAACTTGTTCCGTAAAAAATTTCATGCGCATTGTCATGCACTTTGCACTATACTTTGCGTTATATTTTGCGTTAAAAGTATGAATATATACACACGGAGAGAATATTATAGTTTATTTTTCTTCATATAAATTCTTTTTCGTTTTTCTGTGCTTCTAGTAGCGCAGGAAAGTAGACTGTCAGTAAAGTCTTTATCTTACTAAGAAACATAGTAAGACAAAAATATCAATACCTGGACACATGCCTGATTCTGGACATTCTTATATATATATATATATATATTGCTTTGGTCTTTAAATATGTATATTTAAACTTTCAACACAAAAGATATATATATTTTTTATTTTAAAAGTTTAAGTATTTGTAATAAAAAAGACTATCAGAATGTCCAGAATTAAATTAAATTAAATTTCCTTAGAAACATAATATGTAGCAGCAAATTATTTAATAGCATATCTCAGTCTCTAAAATATAAGTAACACATATGAAATAAATATATAGTCAATTATTGCAAAATATCAATCTATTTCACGGATATAATAATTCTATAATAATTTTTTCTACAAAATTCTCTCCGTTGAGTTCAAATTAAATATTCACTGCTTCCTTTTCTTACGGTTTTTAACAATTTCTCTTTTCATAAAATTTTTAAATATTTTTGGGACACCG